GCATTTGATTCTGACTGTCAGCTGAGAGCTCAGCTGGGCTGTTGACTGGAATGCGTTCACCTGGTCCCTCCACATGCACTGGGCTTCTCACAACATGACGGCTGGGCTCCTAGAGGGAGTGCCCCAAGAACAAGCATTCCAAGGGGCAGGAAGCAGAAGCTGCCAGGCCAGTTAAGGGCTATGCCTGGAACTGGCACAGTGTCCCTTCCACCATATTCTAATGGTCTAAGTAGTCACAGGGTCTGCCCAAATTCAAGGAGATAGAAGAAGAGACTACCTCTTGATGGAAGAGTGGCAAGGTCACATTGCAGAAGATTGTAGGATGGGAGAGATTGTTGTGCCCATCTTTGGAAAGTATAGTCTGCTACAGCGAGCCACTTTTTGTTGGTTCCTGAGTCCTTTCGACATGATGCTATTTGCTATCTTTTTTGAGAAGATACCCTAGGTTCAACTTGTTTATTTTTTGCCTCAAACTTTGAAGTGGCCATTTCTCCAAGAGTCCCTAGTTCCTTTCAGTGGTAGCCCCATCATTGTCAATGTCTGTTGTCCCTAGGACACTGGCTGGCTCCATGGGGTTCCCTGATGTCACTCGTACTTTATATTCAAGAGTGAGAGAACCAGCACTCTTAGAGAAAAAGAATTGGCATTAGGAACTAGGGAAAAATGCCATTCATGTGATCTAGCTAGCCACCTGAATACATATTTATTTTCTTACACAGAAGCCATTCAGCCAAAATGTTAACTCTCTGTTTCCTACCCAGTCTTTAGCTAAGGACCTGTCAGCAGCCGAAGAGCAGTACGCCCGTGCCCTGCGCAGCCACTTGCACAACGTTGACCAGCTGTTGGCCCTTCAGAGATGCCGGCTCAACCTCCTAGAGGAAAGTTACAACATGGAGCTGGAGGCCCTAACCAAGGAGTTTGAGACAGAAAGGTATGGGGGCCTAAGAGAGATGGAGGATTGAGCCCAGGAGAGTATCCAGAACCTGTGTCAATGTGCTGCCTGTGAGCAGGTAGCCAGCACCCTGAAGCGTCCCACCTTAATTGTGACATGGCCCCTGGCAGAGAAGATTCTGAGTTCCTTCTAAACTAACGCAAGTTTAAGCTTGTAGCCTTAGCTTCCCTTTGCCCATGCCAGGTCCCTATCTGTAATGCCCTCACCACCCACTTTCAACTATCAAAATCCTACCCATCTAGCAGAGGACACAGATGGGAGGGAGACTTCTCACTGTAACCATTTGTACTTTTTTTTTTTTTTTGTGAGGAAGATTAGCCCTGAGCTAACATCCTATGCCAATCCTCCTCTTTTTGCTAAGGAAGATTGGCCCTGGGCTAACATCTGTGCCCATCTTCTCTATTTTATATGGGACTCCGCCACAGCATGGCTTGACAAGCGGTCTGTCGGTCTGCGCCCGGGATCTGAACCTGTGAACCCCAGGCCACCGAAGCAGAGTGCGCGAACTTAACTGCTATGCCACTGGGCCAGCCATTTGTACTTTTTGATTTTTGTATCATATGAATGTATTACATATTCAAAAACCAAAATAAAATAATCTCATTCATTCTTTCTGGCCCTAAAAAAGAACAGAGCCCGCCCTCCCTCTGTTCTCTTTCAGTACCTAAGAGTTTATACCATTCATATAGTTGTATTACATACTGCTTTGAGTTGTCATTATTGGTCTATGTGCTTGATCCTTCAGAGCAGGGATGGTGTCTTGTCTCCTTTAGGAAGACCATTATTGACCAACATGAAAAAGAGATTTGCTACCTACAAGATGTCTTCATGGCCATGGAGCAGAGCTATATAGATTCTGAGTATGAAAGCAAGCTGGAATTCCAGAGCATGTGGGATGATCTCAAAAACAAGGTACAGAGGGAGAGTAAATGGGCAGGAGCTGGGAGAGAAGTGAGAGCACAATGCTCAAGGCTAGTGGAGCTGGAAGAGACCCCTTGAACCAACATCATCAGTGAAATGCCTGTTGCCGCTCTAGGTACCCCTACTGCTTTTTGTACTTTTGTGAAAATTGGTCAGAAGGACCATTCTGAAATGTTAAGGAAATGCATTTTAGAGCTAAAAAGCACCAAGGAGATCACCTGGCTTCACCACTGTGATTTGTAGATGAAGAAACTAAGGCCCAAAGAAGTAAAATGGGCTGCCAAAGTCGTGCTGCTGATTTGTGGTAAGCCAGGAGGAGACGCCAGGCCTCCTGCCGCTTGGCCCAAAGTGCTTTCCGCCATCCGCGAGGTTGCAGACGTAGCCAGCCTGCAGATCTGGGTTTGGGTATGGGGTTCTTTGTTTTTATTTTGCCCCACAGTGTTTTGTTTTTTTTTTTTAAAGCTTTTATTTATTTTTTTATAATTTTATTTATTTATTATTCCCCCCAAAGCCCCAGTAGATAGTTGTATGTCATAGATGCACATCCTTCTAGTTGCTGTACGTGGGACGCGGCCCCAGCATGGCCGGAGAAGCAGTGCATCGGTGCGCGCCCGGGATCCGAACCCGGGCTGCCAGCAGCGGAGCGCACGCACTTAACCGCTAAGCCACGGGGCCAGCCCCCCACAGTGTTTTATATACAAAATTTTAATAAGCTTCCTACATTTAAAAATTGGGAGATTTCACATAAAAATCCAAATTTTCAGCTTTCCTTGAAAATTTTAAAGATCTGGTAACACTGGGCCACATTTCCAAATGGGGACATGCGTGTGGAGCCGAGCAGCTGTGCCCCCACTCCGAGCCCCCCATGGAGCATTTCCTCTCTGGTTCACCACAGGCCCCATCTAGCCCACATCATTTATTTATATCATCTGCTTGGTCTTTGTCAGCATTTCCATTGGCGACCTCTGCACCACACTATCCTACAAACAGTTAAAGAGGGTGAGGTTGCCAGTAGGTAGTGAAAGGGCACTAACATGGTAATTCCAAGCACTGGCTATTTTGGGGCCACTTCCTAGAATATAGAAGAGAAGCACTTTCTAAGACTGCAACTGGAGAATACAGTGGAATATCTGTGGAGAAGGTTCCAGGATGCACTCAAGAATTACACTGATGCCACAGAGGATCGAAAGATTGCCTTTGAGACCCTAAAGGTGAAGGACGAGAAGAGCTCCAAAGAGATTGAAGCACAGATGAAAAGAATACAGAGACTACAGGTTAGTCCAGCCAACCGGAAATAGTCGCTGCTTTAACTGCTCCATCATCCCCTGTTCATCTTCCTCCAGTTTCCACTGGGCCTCATCACTGGTTGGGGAAAGATGATATGCTTTGATTTCAGTCCCCAGACAGTCCTTTTACCTGTCTCCCTGAAGACCCTCAGCTAGTCAAGAGTTTCCTCTAATCTACTCTGTTCCTCCAGGATTCTATAATTATTTTAAAAGGCAAGATCATGGTGCACGGGCGTGACAGTGAAGAACAGAACCAATACATTCGTGATGACAAGGAGTTGGTCCTTGTTCAACTGCGAAAACTTAAGGCCCAAAGGACTCAAGCCCGGGGAATATCACAGGAAAACTTAGTTAAACTTACCCTGGAAAGTAATGCCACCCTCAAGGCCCTGAGAAAGATTGTCGATAAGGTAACAAAATAAGGTAACAAGGGGAGAGGGCGGTCAGAACAAAACCAAGGAAGCTGGCTCCCTGCGAGGTGGAAGGGGTTTGGGAGAGGTAGAGAGCTTCCTCCTGCTTCCTGCCTCAGTGGACACTTGGAATACCTTTTTTATTCCATGTTCCCTCCCCTCTCACATTTTAAATTAAATGAATTAATAATGAATGAATTTTGTAGGAATATAAAATACTTGGAATAGTGCTTGGCACACAGTAAGCACTGTGTTAGATGTATTTATTACTCTCGTCTCCTATTTGGATGAGTAGCTTCCTTGGGTTCAAGCAGGGGAACCAACTCCACTATTTCCCCTCCCCTCTTCCTTTCCTATTAAAAGGTCTCTTCCTGCTTCCAATAGGGTGAAAAGATCCTTAAACTTGCTGAAATATGTAGGAAATTTGAAACAGAGGAAGAAAAAGTGCTGCCTTTTTATTCATCAGTATTGACTCCCAAGGAGCAGGAGGAGATAAAGGAAATTAACCCAGAGGAGCTTACTGAGGAGCTTGCAAAGGTAAAGTTCCTGCGGTCGCTCGAGGTTGGGGAAGATGGGGCATTGGGCTGCATTTGCTAATGAGCCCCACCACACACCTTCTCCTTTTAACTCAACTCCCAGGTGATAGTGGACTACATAGGGATGGAGAATTTCTGGAAAAGGTACAACAAGGTGAAACTGGAGCAACTGAGCCTCCAACACAGACGTGCCCAGTTGTTAGAAATCAATGGGAAACTGCGGGAGATGCTCAAGCAGTATTTGGATGGCATCTCAGTGAGTGATGAAGTGCTGAGCCAGCTCAACCCACTCTTCATCGTCAACCACCAAAGCAACTTACCCCAGCCCTTGTCCACACCTACAACCCAGCCAGGTGACAAACCACCTCCAACCACTTACAACATCATTGAAGCAGCCCATGTGGTCTCCCACATCCTGTGATACAAGGAGAAAATCTCTTTTCAATCCCCAGAGAATTTTTTGAGAGACCCAAGGACTTTTAAACTATTAAAAATTTCCATGGAGTTTATGAGCTCCTTTTATCTTTGCCATACTGGACAGAGCAGTCTACTTTGAGGACACTAGGAAGACAGCGGCCCCAGGGAGTGGAGAGAATAGCCAGGCAACTACCAGGAGGCTTACAGCTCAATGAAGCAGTGCTCCTCGGAGTCAGGGCACCATGGGAGCCAAAACCCATACCTTCAGGATGTAGAGATCCTGTGGGAAGATTCCAGACCAGGTCCTTGGGGTAAGTTAGGACAGGAAGAGGAAGCCAGGAGAGGAAGTGATCCAAAGCCTCCAACCACCCTCACGCCAGTCAAGATCCAACTCAGAATGCCTTTTTCCCCAGCCCTCTATCTCCTTCCCACTTACAAAAATAGCCTCAGAAACTATCAGGTGAAGAAGTCAAAGAAGTTTTTAAAAATTATTATTATTTATTTCTTTTTGCTCTTGTTTCGTTTCTCTTCCTTGAGCTTCTTTTTGGAGACTTTAGGTCTGTTGGCCTTTTTGTATAGGTGATACCCAATGAGGCCCAGGAGGGCTGGCACCATGGCCATGCCTACCAGAGGCAAAATGCCCTTCACCAGCTTTTGCCAGTAGTTGGCTCGGATCAGTGCAATCAGCTCCACGTCAAACTGCAGGACTGCATCCGCTGGAGGCAGAGAGGAGGCAAGGGTTAGTCTGGGCATTTTATCCAGGGTGCAGAAGCTGAATGAAAACAGGGAGGGCAGACACACCAGAGCAATGACTAGGAAGCTGGCAAGATTTAAATGTGTGGTTGAGTTCACTTAGACAAAGGCAGAGAAGGATTATGAGCAGAGTCTAGTGATAGATAGTCATGTTTACCCAAAATGTATAAGTGTAGCTTGTGTTCAGTGACAGGTCTTTTGACAGGACAGGAAAACTTTCTGTAGATGTGAAATGTACAGGCTGTTCTCCATTTAAAAGTGAGAGAACCTCTATACTAACTGTATTCCATTTCCAAACAGCCACGTGGATAGAATCTTTGCAGGGCTGAAATTAATTGGATTTAAACCAGACTTCTTAAAATTCCACCAACCAATGGGCACACTCAATGTGACTGTTAGAAAAGATAAGTGTTTCAACATAAGAGCTGGAGAGGAAGAAGGATGTGGCTTAAGAAGTAAGGGGCAGGGGGGCTGGCCCTGTGGCATAGTGGTTACATTCATGCACTCCCCTTCGGCAGCCTGGGGTTTCTGGGTTCAGATCCTGGGCACAGACCTACACCACTTGTCAGCCATGCTGTGGCGGTGACCCACATACAAAATAGAGGAAGATCGGCACAGATGTTAGCTCAGGGCTAATCTTCCTCAAGCGAAAAAAAAAAAAGAGGAAGATTGGCAACGGATGTTAGCTCAGGGCAAATCTTCCTCAGCACACACACAAAAAAGGGAAGGGGCAGGGAAAAAGGGGGGATGGGGATGTAAACAGAAGTAGTACTGGAAATGGAGACATAGTAGAGCTTTGGGTAAAAGAGTTTCTCTCTAGTCCCATGACCCTCTTTCTGAGTCCCCCACTAAGCTGCAACAAGGATAAGAACTTTTATCCCATTACTCTGAAGTACAACACATTTTAGCTAATAGGACATTTGTTATAACCAAAGCAAGAGATAAGTACCTTGGGAAATCTGTCCAGTCTCAGGCCTTCAAGAATAAATATCAGCAGTGACCCGTGAGGGCTTTTAAAGTTACAGGGTGGGCTTGGCTTTTAAAAGTTGTTTTTGGTTTATTTTGTTTTGAATTACTTGACTGTGATCATTTTTAATATCCCTTCCCTGGTGGAAGCTGAAAGGAGGGGTGAAGATGTGGTGAGAAGCCATGCCAACTGCACAAACCACGGTTTGGAGTTGTAGGAAAAAGGCAGGAAAGAAGTCCAGAGTTCTAGGAGGGGTGGCACAGGCAGCAGACCCATGCAGCTCAAGCAGGTGTCTCCTCCCTAAAAAGTTGCCAGCTGCCAGAGGGCAAGCCAGGTGGCCTTAACAGGTTACACGTCTTTAGTCCCTGTGGGTCATCTGAGGAGGAACAAAGTGCCCCTGCAGAAGGAGAGCCCAGCCACTCCTGTCCCTTTCAGCAAACTGGGTTTAGATCATCTCAAGCTCCAGGCAAAGTGTGTAGCTCCTTGTAGCTCTTAGAGACTGGGTATTTTGATTGCCTGAGAGAAGGCCTGGACAGATTACCTGGGATAGACGGTGGAAATCCCCGTTTTCCATAGGCCAAGTGAGAAGGAATGATTGCCCTTCGCTTCTCTCTGTGGGAAGGAATGTGAGTCACAGCCAGAGGTGGGACCGGGTGGGCCAGCAGCCTCTATGCATTTGAAGCCCCATCAGCAAAACTCTCTGGATATTCACACCCAAAACATGAACTTTCCCACCTGACTACCAAACGGGGTTGACCAGCAAAGGTGACCATCCCCCCACATGCCTCAGCTCTTCCAACGAAACCCCCAGCCAGAAAGGCACAGAAGCTCTGGATGACCTCAGGGGTCCCAAGGACCTGGACCTGCCCAAAGCAAAGCCAGGGCCCTTTATCCTCTGTTCTCTTGCCTCCTCCAGGAGCAGGGATAGCAGAGAAAGCCTCTACCCATACAAAAGGGGGGATTCAAGCCCACCCCTGCCCAGATACTCACCCCACACACATGTCTAGAAGGCTCTGCTCCAGACCTTGAGGAAGAAGACACAACTGAACAGGAAGCTACCTACATTCCCCAAATCCCAGGAGAGGAGGATCGAAGGCTCCCCCTTGACCCTCAACTGAGCTCCCCACTTCTCAAATCTCTGGCTTCCAGTGGGGTATGGGGCAAAAGGAGTAACAGAAGAGGGCTTTGAACCTCAGGAGGTAGCTGATAAAGCCCTGGAATCTTATTCCAGGGGGCATTTCCAAGGTAGGTTAGGGTTGAAGAGGCTAAGAAAGGGCTTAGGTTGGAAAGAAGTGGAATGGGAGACGCAGGTACCTGGGATCATACCTGGGATCACCTGCTTTTGGCCAAGTTCTATAACCAGAGGGTCTCTGGTCAGGGAAGTGTCAATAATGCGTCCATCTACCAAGCTGCCCTGCGGGGAGAGAGCATCAAGAGCGCACACCTGGTACCTCTCCCTCCCAGCAGGCGCGCAACACACACCTGGGCCGCTGGGCGGCGGCAAACTTCCCCGCAGCTGCAGCCTAGCATTCCCTTCGGGGCAGAAAGTAATAGGAAGCCCCAAAGGGCTGGCACTTCTCGGAGATCTCCCCACCCTTCACTTCTCAGCGCCGGGGAGGAACTGGCGGAGAAGTCAGGAGGGGAAATGGGCAGAGAGGAGGAGCGCCCCTCTCCCCGCCACGTGCTCGACGACCCCAGAGCCCCAAGTTACTCCCGAACCGCTTGCCACGTGTCCAAGCCAAAGCTGACGTGTTTCACCAAGGCACCGCCCCCTCCCAGGCCCCGCCCCGGCCCCCCAGACCCCTCACCGTGTAGTGTATGTGAAGCGTGTCTCCAAAGGCAGCGGGCTCCGCGCACGGTTCGGGGGGCTCCACCTATGATCGGACTACAGAGTTACGGAGGCTCCTCCAAAGATCCCGTTCTTGCCCCTTGACCCAGCACCCCCCAACTCAGGTCCCGCACTTCCTCTCCTCCCCGCTCCCAGGTTCGTCTAGGCCCCCATATGCTCCCTCAAGGTCCGGTCCCTTCGGGGCCCGGGACTGTCTCCTCCTCACCAGGGTCTCCACTTGGAGGGTCTGGACGGGACTTTCGGTTTCGAACCCAGCCTCAGCCTGGCACACCGCCCCGCTGAGCAGCAGCAGCAGCAGCCGCCGGAGCGGGAGTAGTGAGGGGCGCAAGGTCATGACCGGACGCGGGGCAGGGCACGGGGCACCAGGACAGGCTGCTCGGGTGGCGGTGGCTAGGACAGCGGTTCCCTCGGCGCCCAGGCCAGACTGGACGGGAGTGGGGCGGGTCGCGACGCGCCAGCTCCTCCTCCTGCAGCCCTTCCCCCACCTTGTCCCCGCCTCCTGGAGGGAGGAGGCCGCGGGGAGCCTTCCCTACCCTCTGAGATCGGGGAAGGTTGTGGATTCTGACCCGTCCGTTAGCCGTTCTCTTCCATAGCGAGGGGCTGGGTCATATAATAGCGCCCATTTAAGATTACCTGTTGTGTGCCAGGCATTTGTCTGTAATCCTTAAAACCACTCTGAAAAGGAGGCATAATTGTTTCCATTTTATAGATGAACTGGGTGCTCAGGTTAAGTAACCTAGGACTGCCTGAGTCCAGCCTGTTTGCTCTCGGCTCTTTCCTCTAAGCCCTAGCCTCGCAGCGTCTGGCTAGCCCACCCCACCTCCGCCCTTGTCACAGGCGGCATCCCTCTCCCACCTCCAGCCCTTCAGCTTGAATTTCTGGAAGTCCTACGTCCAAAAGGAGGCAGGGAGCTGTCCCATCCCCCTGTCCTTTACAAAGCTAACTGAAAAAAGCAAGGGGCTATTTTCCTGTAAGGATGGGGTGAATCCCTGATCTTTTCCTCTAACACTACCATTTCCTTTCTCCTTTCATCAAGAAACTTGTCAAAAGGGCAGCTAACTTGTCAAAAAGGGTAGTATAACCCTTTCACGTTTGTACAAGGACTTCAGTTTTTAAAAGGGTTTTAAAATTATTTCAGGTGACCCTGCCAGTCCCCTTCTGCATGACTGAAACCCTCACTGCCCACTCAGGCCTTGGCATCTGGATTCTGCTCCCTCAAAGGTCCTCAGCGAGCTCAGTCACCAAATTCTCTTTTTTTTTTTTTTTTGAGGAAGACTGGCCCTGGGCTAACATCCATGCCCATCTTCCTCCACTTTATATGGGACGCAGCCACAGCATGGCCTGACAAGCGGAGCATCGGTGCGCGCCCCGGGATCCGAACCCAGGCCGCCAGCAGCGGAGAGCGCGCACTTAACCGCTACACCACGGGGCCGGCCTCTCAGTCACCAAATTCTTGGGTCATTTCTTCATCCCTTGTCTTCTCTGGCATCTCTCTAGCACTTGATGCTGTTGAGCTCTGCCTGCCTTCCCAAGCTCTAGACACAACCACCGATTGGGTATCTCCACCTAGATGTTTGACCTGCACCTCAAATCATCACATCCGATACTGTACTCATTCTGTCACTGACTAGGTGCCTCAAGAAACTCAAAGGTGGGTTTGGAAGCAATTAACTGTTTTTCCAAATTGTTTCTTTTCCTTTTGTGTGTTAAGGAGATGTAACCACCAGCCGTCCTGAAACTGACCAAGCCTCACCAGCAAGAGCTATGCCCATGACCTTTGCCTTATTTTTAATGCAAAGATCTCTCCAGGAGGAGCTTAGCCCTCATAACGTAGACGCATGTTCTCCAACTGAGCCTGTGCAAGTGAATACCCGCCTTTCTCTTTTGAATATTCATTCCCCAACGAAATAAAAGTTCCTGCTTTCCTTTGTTTGGGACACCATGACGTTGGAAGTGATTCCTCTTGGCCTCCTGTTTGCTGCAAATACACTTTACTTTGTGAGACAACTTCCACTGGTGTCTTTTATTAACTCACCAGGAGGGGAGCCCACTTGGTTCAGTATCAATTCCTCTTTCTCCTTCCATCCCATCTGCAACAATCTACACTCCCCTCACCCCCCTCCAATTTCCTGTTTCTGGTAGTAGCTCTGCTCTCAGCATTCTCTTCAATTCATCTATCTCCCACATCCAGCTAGTCTCCTTTGGATTCTCCCTCCACAGCCTCTCCAGCTTTCTTTCCATTCCCATGGCTACCACTCTAATTAAGCCCTCATTCTCACTCTCTTTGGGGTCATTTAAAAAGAAAAAGCCCCCTCAGCAGGAGGGAATATCTGGGGGAGATGAAATGCTCTTTATCTTGATAGGGATGTGGGTTACATGAGTGTATGTAGTTGTCAGAACTTAGCAACTGTATGATAACATATGTGCATTGCACTGCATGCAAATTACACCTCAAATTTTTAAAGAAGGAAAAAAAAAATACAAACAAAATTACATTTCCAAGTCTCCCTTAAGGCTGGATAAGGCCACGTGCCTAAGTTCTGGCCAATAAGACATAAACAAAAGTGTTGGAATTATTGTCCTGGACTTCCAGGAACGCTCCTTAATGTAGCTAAAAAGTGTGTCATTGTATGCTCCTCCTCCTCCCCCAATCTCCTTCTCTTCCTTCTTCCTGCTGCCTGGAATGTGGATGAGACAAATTATGCTCTAGCAGCCATATCAGACCATGAGGTGACCATGAGGATGGAAGCTATGTGCTAGGATGGTGTGGCAAAAAGATAGGAGCCTAAGTCCCTGATAACTGTAGAGCTACCATACCAGTCCTGGATTGCCTGCCACCAGATACCTTTATTTTATTTTTTGTGAGGAAGATCAGCCCTGAGCTAACATCCATGCCAATCCTCCTCTGTTTGCTGAGGAACTGGCCCCGGGCTAACATCTGTGCCTATCTTCCTCCACTTTATATGGGATGCCACCACAGCATGGCCTGACAAGTGGTGCCTTGGTGCGTGCCCAGGATCCAAACCTGGTCCACCAGCAGCGGAGTGCGCACACTTAATTGCTACGCCACGGGGCTGGCCCTACCAGATACCTTTAAACTGAGGTAGACATGAACTTGGATTTTGTTTAAAAAAAAAAAGAGTAATAAGCCCCTCATCCCCAGCCTGGCCCTATTTTAGCCCATTGTGTACACTGCTGCTATCTGCTCAGCTTCAGTAATGTCACCTGTGGACTAAAAAGCCTGCCATAGTTCCACATTGCCCAATGAGTAAAATTCAGACTCCTTGACATGCCAACTGAAAGCTTTCATTATCTGGCCCTAATCTGCCTTTCCAAACTTGCCTTTTATTCCATTAAACTGAAAGCCATTTCAAGACAGGTATCTTATCTTTCTCATTTCTATATTCTCATTGCCTGATATGGTGTCTGACACACAGATGCTTGATAAATGTTTGTGAATTGAACTAAACCCCTGCTTGCTCATGGTCTGGCATCAGATGAACCTCATCATGTGTTTTCATCTCTGTGCCTGGGCTCACGCTCTTCCTTCACCTGTCAAGCTCCCTCCAAGCCAAGCTCAAATATCACCTCCTCTCTGAAGTCCTGATTCCCTTAGCGAGAAGTGACTTAGCTCTGATTTCTGAACTCCAGGCGTACACTCTGGGACATTATTATATTTTTCCTTGTGTTGCAGTTATTGGTGTATGCCCCACTCCCCACTTCCTATCTCCTCTACAGAGCCAGCTCTCAGATGGTAAGGACAAGTTTGTGATCATGTGTGGAGTCCCCTAGGTACTAGCTGCACAATTATTCTCCATATAAAGGATTCTAGAAAAATATGTTTTATTTTGAGTAAATATCATACTATGCAATACTGAGAAACCATTAAAAAGGAAGATCTAACTATACTAATATGGAAAACCTCTAAGACAAATGTATATACTCAAGTTAAAAAAAAGAATAGAAGTGATATGAGCCCATTTAAATTTTAACCCCTCCCCAATGTGTGTAGATATATATATTTAAAAAGGAACCAGAAGGATGCAAACCAAACAGCTGAGAATGGTTACCTCTGGGGAAGGGGAGTAGAGAAAAGCAGAGAGACACAGGTTCCACATGTTGCTCTGTGCATATATACGTACTGTTTGGATCTTTTGCAATAAAAATTAGTTTGGTTACAAAAATAAATTTTAAAATTAAATAAAATATTAAATGAATGAACATGATATATAGCAATACAAGGGAATGTGTGGGAGGTGTTGAATCAGTTGTGCTAACAGAGCTAAAGGAGCCAGACTGAGAAAAAAAAATTCCTTGTAATTAGACATGTCATGGGCAGCTGTGTAGATTTTAAAAGAAAGTGGTATTTTTAAACAAGTGAGAAAGGGGATGAAGGCAGAGGGCCAGATATTTGGGGAAAATGAATGGCCCAGTTTGGCTCAAGTAAGGGATTTAGCCAGATGAGTAGAGAGGTAGCTGGAGACGGAAGTAAGAACTGGTTGTGGAGAGCCTTGAATGTCAGACTAAAGCAGTGGGAACCCATTGAAAGTTTCTGAGCAAAGGGGTGACAGCACATACTGCACCGATACATCAGCTGATTGGAGTCACGTCGTGAAGGTGGAAGGCTACTGTCAGTTCCAGGTCTGAGGCTTTGTTTGGGAATCTGAACGGGAAAGGGAAGTGGGGGTAGAGTGAGAGAGGGAGGTAGTGGGAATGGAAAGGGCAAAACTAAGACAACAATTTCACCCACAGAAGGCAGCACAAGCCCACTTGGACCCAGGAGGGACCAGGGAGGAAGGAGCTTTCTTCTTGGACGAAGGAGGAACCTGAAGGACAGAGAAAGGTAAGATGGTTCTGGGAAAGGTAGGGGAAATGGCCCAACCTTGACTGGAGGCACAACTTAATCAGAGGGCCACTCCTGGATAGGCCTCCATCCTCAAAGGTATATGTCTCTGTCGGTGAGTAGGAGAAAAACCACCACAGCCCCCTGGCTTCCAAGACTCATGGGGCACCCACCCCGCCCAGCTTGGTTAAGAACAATGATGTTTATTCATTCAAGGCTGAGTGCCTGAGGACACTGCTTTTTAAGTGTTTTTAATATGTTTATTTTAAACAGATGGTTAATAAATAAAAAGACTGTGAGTCAGCATATGCAAATGTGGGTTCAAAATCTAATACGGTATTTCCAAAGGCATGCATACCCTGGCTGACTGGATGTGTTCTTTTTAGGTATGGTTATACACTCACTCATCCAAGAATGAAGCATTACCTCCCCCCAACTCTCACCTATGGCTGTTCTAGCAAGGAGGTATCATCCCATCAATGCAAGATCTGGCACAGGCAAAAACAGAGATTCCCCGTCTCCTCTTACCTAAAGCCAAGAGAGCACCCCTCTTTCCTACATTCAGAACTCAGAAAGAAGCTAGCATCCAAATCCATGTGGTTCAGAGCCCCAAGCTAAGCCTTCCAACCCTTAAAAGGCCTTGTACTCAATTTTGTCCTAAGATGGCTCTC